ATAAACGTAACCTGAACTGTTGTCATACATCAGGCAATGAAAGGATGTTACAAAGAAAACGTTCCACGTTCTGGATTAGGAACATGTCAAGAACGAGCTCTTCATTTTAAGCAATTGTCACTGTATAAATTTAAATGCATGTTTATAATAGGAAAAAGTTACATTAGATTAATATAATAAAGCCTGTCAATATACAATGTACCTCCGGTCGAAAGGGTTTCGGCAAGACCAGCCTCCTTGACAAGGGTTACCAGAGTCTTGGCGCCAAGCTTTTCCGCAAGCTCCACCAAATTACCCTGCTGGCAATACCCTAGAGACACGAAACAGAGGAGGGAGATGACTGCAAGTACCTTCATGATGACGCCGTGTAGCTGCCGGTAACTCAGGACCATCAGCTCTTATATAGGTTTGGTTGTGTAACCAGTTTATATAACGTTAGATAAAATTACGTCCTGGGTTACGTGGGAAGGGTCTCACGAGTAATTTATATACTCGGTGCAAGAAGACGGGCAAGGTCATTTCGGACAATCTTAAGCTTCATTTATTGGACAAGTGTACTAACGACGTGAGTCAAGTCATGATTAAGAATGTTGCGTGCGATGATGATTAACAGTTTGTATATAATCCTGCGAACTACCTATAAATACATGTATATCTTGTAGTATAATTATCAATGTACTGAAACAAGTTAAAAAATAGAAAAATATTTAAATTTAATTTTTGCAAATTCAGCAGAATTTCCTGAACAATGTACGTTTTGACGACCTAGTATCTTGACCCGAGTTTTATCTGACCATGCTGTTTAACCTTCGTATAAATGTAAACACGCTTATCGGGAGAATTTATGTCAAAGGTTCAGTTATACATAACATGTGAAGATAACTGAAAAAACTTGGACTTGTACATGTATGCTTTGGGAATCAATATGATATAATTTGGTATAAGATGAAATATAATTTACAATCGAAATGTTAATTTGTTTTAGTCTCAAAGGTTTGCTTTTCTATGAGATAAAGCAAAAGGAACTTCATAAAACATATCCGGAACTGCACGTGGGTTGACCATATATTTAAATTTGAAGTGGACAAGATAAACAAGATAAGAATTTGTGTCTACATTGACCATGTGCTGATGTGTGTAACTGCTCACGAGACACCAGCCGTGGTCACGAGATGGAGGTCACCAACACGTGACTACCCAAATTTAGGAGTTCACGAGAACATTGTGGAAAGTCCAATGTGTCTGTGTGGCTCTGCATTTGTAAATGCAAATATTTTCTGTTAATATAAGTCGAAATTATCAAATACAAATTTGAACTGTGTTAAATAATTTTCATCTACAACGCGTCAATAGCAGCATTGCCATTAAACCCCACCTTAAAGAGGACAGAAATCTACCTAGTTTTTATTCCTATTTACAAACAAACAAACAAAAAAAGATTCAGCCGAGACTAAGAACAACAACCGTATTACACTAGCGTGTTATCTGGTCTAATGATTCCCCTGCCTTGGATGCAGCAGGTACAATTTATTGAAAAGGGGAAACAAAACTAGATAGTTAGATCAAATTTCTCACCACATGCTATTGTATATCTGTTATTAAAACAAAACACAAGAAAAACTCCTTTGCTATCAATTTCAGAAAAGCGTTTGATATTTTTCGGCGTCTATTTGTATGGAAAATGGGCTGAACAAGTTTTAATGTTAAAAACTAAATATGTATCAAGACATAGAGGTTTGAATTGCTAACAATGGTGACTAGTTCCCACATGTGATAATTGGCGTGACAAAAGAAACAAATGTATCATCGTTTCTTTCTCTCATTCTTTCTCTACCTACCATACATATAATGATTCATAAGGAACTTAACATATTTAACGCAAACTATTTATATTTCTTTTTACGGGACGACACAATTTTATAAGAAGAACCAGCAATAGAATGACAGGAAGAACTAGATACGTTAGGTCATATGAGCCGAAGTGACCTATTGCCATCACTCTTTATATATATACCTAAACCTACATTAGGTGACTCTATGTCATCAATTAGTACCTTTACACTCATTGTCATATCAGGTATGTTGATCAGAACTTAATAATTGTTCATGATATTATATATAGTGCAGGAAACAAAAAAACTAATCCAATAGATATATTGGATCAATTGGACATATAACATTATGTTATTATAATTATAGATATATATGAGAAAAATCATATCATTAGGGGCATTCAAGACGACATTGATTTAAAATATATTGTCTACGTATAATTTGGATGTACGTGTTTTTGGCGGTATTGTGGCGTGTTTTCTTTAAGCATTTTGGAGCTGGCAGTATTATTCGGCGTTTTTACATGAATGGTTTTATTTTTCAACCAAAGTTTAACAATTGTTTTTCTAATTTTTGAAGCATAATGTTTGCGCATTTTTTCTCTAATATTTCAATATTTTTCGATATTTTAAAAGCTGAGTCGTTACTCAATAACTCAACAAGGTATCTAAGAATACAGATAACTGTTTATTAATAAGACGAAATGAATAATCATAACATTAGCGCCGTACAATGACAACAAGGAGAGGTAATGCTAAGTAGCTCCATCCCAATGTAAAGTAATGGTCTATCCTACCTAACAGTACTACCAGTAGACCACTGCCATGTCTCAAAAGTGTAAACACACATATTTCAGTACCGATATAGCAGTAGCACATCGTAAGAGACATACACTGAACGAAAAGTCCTACCCCTAATTATGGTGAATAAAACTAAAAATAGCACATCCCTGTCTGTAAATCGTATATAACAATTATACTGAAACGAGTAATTAAAACGTGAGAAGGAAACAACAGAACTTCCCACATAAATCTATAATTGCAACTAGGCCTTAGATCCCTCATTTATTGCTTGATTGATGTGTTACCCATACAGATGCTAAAGTTAACAATTCAGACGAGTTGGTGGGTCCAACTAAATATTCCGTAACTTCAGTTTGAATCCACTCATCGGATTCGGATACATTATAATTAACTTCTCTCAATACACGAGAAACATATACTATATGCGAACTACATCAGTATGTTAGTAAAAGTAGCTAAACGAAAGACATAATTATGCAACATTGTACATCGCCAGATTTGCAAGTATATCATAATGGGACGACATTGTTCC